TTCCAGCTCAACACATTCAAACACGTACAGGGAAGGAACAAGATCAGATCTTGGGTCCCACAATTTTTCTGACTGTAAAGAGCATTGAATTCTTCGATAAGACATCATTTAAACAGAAATAAAAGTGTAAATAACACTGAGTCACATATTATAGGTAGACAAGTGTATTCATTGTTGGAGAAATTCATTAAAGTCCCCCCCTTTTTTTTTTTTTTCATTTAAGAAGCTCAGTAACACATGGTTTCTTCAGAACATCCTCTTTCAAATAGTTCATGGTAAGACTGAAATGGCTGCACCTGCAGGATACACACAGCTGACCTTTACAAGAGCACAGGAGGATCACAGGCACTGGCTGGAACAGGAGGACTCACCGCCTCATTACAGGAGATGCAGCTTTGCCACTTGCATTCCCCTCGAGGCATTCTGCCCTCTTGAAGGCAGGAACTTTAACACAAAAATGTTCACAGAAATAACAAGACAGGTACCTGCTCCTCATCCTCTTCTGCATCCAGCACCACACAGTGATAAAGCATGCCTGATTCAGTGGCAATCACCAGGATATTTGGAATACAAGGCAGGCACAGGACAGCACAGGCATCGTAGCCATAGTTGTCTTCTGCAGCAGGGTGCATGGGCAAAGGGCCGAGCAGCTTGCCAAGATTTCCAGCACTGGAATAGAGGAGATGCATTCACAACACAAAGTGTAGCAGCAGAGTTCCCATGGCCGCCTGCAGGAGTTTACTGAATGATAACTAGAGAATGAGGGTGATTAAAAAATAGACAACTAAAACAACAAACGCAATAGTTTGGAGTTATCGTGTTATTCTTGGATTTAAGTCTACCAGCACTACCACAAAGAGATAAAACAAATTACAACACAAACCAGCCCAGCATCCATTACAGAATTCCAGCGAGGTGAAGAGATGGCTCTGGAACCAAACATACAAAGACTCTATGAAACTTGAGGGTGAATGCAAGCCTACCTCTGCAGCAGGTTGATATAAGTCAGGAACGTCTCTCCATTTTCATATAAAATGTAAAGTGGAAAAGCCAGCACTTCTTCACTGCCTCGCTGCCCAAGAATGCTCACTGGGACGGGCACCAGCGGGCCGAAGTCAAACGCCACTGCGGTCTCTCCCAGCGACGCTGTGTAGGCTCTCCTGGGGATAAGCAGGAACAAAACTGAGTCAGCAGTGACTGTGACAACAAAAGCATTTACTGAGATCCATCTGTATGTCACATTACACCTGCCCTTAAGTCCTTTGGTGCACGCTACTTTCAGCAACAGAAGCGCACAGGGAACACCCCCCTCCAGGGCCTCGTTTCTGAAGTGCCCAGCAGCCAGCCCAGCTCGCAGGGTAAGGAGGAGGGCAGTGGGATCTCCTGTGCAGTACAGCAGCCTGTGACTCACACGGTAGAGACCTTCAAGTTTCTCCTTTCCAATCAGGCCAAGGAGGAAATAAAAAGATAACCTATCTCCCTGCATTCCCCGCTCAAAAAAGGCCTTAAACCTTCTGAAGGATAACATGTGTTGTTCAAATGACTGCTCTGAAGAGCACCAGGCTGTGCAGTCTGTTCCATCCTTCTTTTAGAAAGGTTAGGGAAAAAACAGAACCACTACTGTGCCAGGAAGCAGCCCCAGCACAGGAGTGTGGGAGCAGTAAGCCTGAATAAATCTCTGTTGGATTTTCACACAGAATGGCCCGAGTTGGAAGGGACCTCAAGGATCATGAATCTCCAACCCCTGCCACATGCAGGGCCACCAACCTCCACATTTAATACCAGACCAGGCTGCCCAGGGACCATCCAACCTGGCATTGAACACCTCCAGGGACAGGGCATCCACAGCCTCTCTGTGCAGCTGTTCCAGCACCTCACCACTCTCATAGTATAGAGCTTCCCCCTGACATTCAACCTAAATCTTCCTTCCCTCAATTTAAAACCATTTCCTCTTGACCTGCGGTTATCAACTCTTTCAAAGAGTTGACTCCCCTCCTGTTTGTAGGCTCCCTTCAGGTACTGAAAGCTGCACTGAGGTCACCCCGCAGCCTTCTTTTCTCCAGGCTGAAGAAGCCCAGCTCCCTCAGCCTGTCTTTGTAATGGAGGTGCTCCAGCCCCCTGCTCATCTCTGTGGCTCTCCTCTGGACCCTCTCCAACAGCTCCCTGTCTTTCTTGTACTGGGGGCTCCAGACCTGGACACAGTACTGCTGATGGGGCCTCACGAGGGCAGAGTAGAGAGGGACCATCACCTCCCTGTCCCTGCTGCCACCCCTCTTCTGATGGAGCCCATTTGCCTTCTGAGCTGCAAGAAATTTTCAGGGGATTTTCAGGAGGATCTGTCACTCATTACAGACAGGACTGAGAACACAGAACTTGTCTTGCTGAGAGCATTTTGAAAGGAGCCTCACAAACCCTTTGTTGATGATCAGGGTCTCCTCCTCAGCATCTGAGAGCGCAATCACCTTGATGGGGGTCTGGGGCACCTTCAGGCTGTAGATCCTGAAGGGAAGAAGCAACAGTGATGGTCATCAGCTGCAGCGCATCTGTGATTCCTCTCACCCTGCTCTGTGTGCAGCGACTGTTGGAAGGGACGCACACACAGAAAACGCGAGGCGCAAAAAGTCTTTACCTGATGGTGTTATCCGAAGTCAGCAGCACGATGTGGGGCTCCAGGGTCTCGCAGGGGTACCAGGCCGCGTGCTTCAGGGTGAGGGACGTGGAACTGGTGAAGAACCGTTCTGCGACCGGGATGGTGCTGGAACAGAGCGGAGACGACCGCTGTGACCGCACGGACGGAGCGGTTTCCGAAGGGACGGGGAGGGGGGGGGAGAGCGGAGCTCGGCTCCCACCTGCAGTTCACCACGGCCTTCCCGCCCTCGAACTCGGAGTTTTTGCCCCAGCGTTTGGGCAGCTCCACGGCCGAGAGCCCTTTGGTGCCGATCAGCGCCACATGGCGCCGCGCTGGGCTGAGCAGCGTCTGATACACCTCGAACAGCGGCGGATTGATGCACAGCAGCGTCTGCCGAGACAGGAGGGGAGGGGGCCGGGGCTCAGATCGCCGTCCGTCCCGCGGAGCCCCGCGGAGCCCCGCACCGCTTACCTGGTAACGGCCCAACTCCGGCTCGGCGCCGCTCAGACGGCGGAGGTCGATGTCGAGCAGCGCGCCGCGCTCGCCGTCCCATAGCAGCAGGTCTCCGTCCAGGCCCAGCAGCAGGCTGCGGATCAGCGGGGAGCGCGGGGCGGCGGAGGTCGCGGCGCCGCTCTCGCGGAGGCGGCTGAAAGCGGCGTGCTGCGGTAGGGCCGCCCGCCACCGCTCCGCCGGACCCCACTCGGCCGCCATCGCCGCCCGCGACCGCCCCGACCCGACAGCCAATCGGCGGCGCCGAGCGGAGTGACGTCACACCAACCACCACCTCCCGCGCGCTCTCGTCGAACTACGTTTCCCGGCGCGCCCCGGGTCGCGGTCACGTGGCGGCGGCGGGCGATGGAGGCGCCGCTCGGTGGGCACCGGGCGCTGTACAAGAGCCCCGCCGCGCCGCCATGGAAGGAGACGTACCGGCGGGTGAGCGGGGCGAGGCCCCAACCGCACCTCCCCGGTCCCGCTTCCCCTCCGCCGAGCTCTCTCCGCGTTCCTTCGCCCCGAGGCGCGGGATGAGAGCTCCCGGCCCTGACACGGCGCCGCCGCTCCCCGCAGCGCTGCCTGGAGCGCCTGAGGAGCAGCCGGGAGCGGCTGCTGCACCGCTACCGCCGGGCCGGGCCGGGCCCTGGCGCGCTGCTGGTGCCGGAGGTGATGGAGTGGGAGTGGCAGAGCCTGCAGGCCGAACGCGGCGCGCCGGGGGATCGCGGGCAGCGCGCGCTGCGGCAGGTCGGTGCGGGGCGGCGCGGCTCGGGGGAAGCGTCGGGGTTCGGGACGGGGATCGGTTCCGCTCCGTCGCCGTTCTTCAGCCGTGCTTTGGAGCGGTGCCGTCTCCGAACCCGGCAAACCGCGAGCGATTGAAGGCCGCTCCTCGGTGCTGCGCCTCTGTGTTACTGAGCAGAACGATGAGCTTCGGGATCTCCGTCCCGGCGGCAGCTCGGCCAGGTGAGCACGCGGCCACAACCGCAGCGCTGTGCTTTTCAGATGCCCGAGGATCCGGACGAGCTGGCGGTGCTGGATGAAATCCAGCAGGAGCTGATCCTGCAAGGTAACTTCTCAGTGCTTTTCCTGACTCTTCTCGGAGCCGTGCTGTTACTTGCTGGCCTCCTCCTGCTGAGGGTGTAACTCTGTTTCTATAAACCACACGATGTGGGGAAAACAACCCTTGTCTCTGCAGCCTCTCTGATGCACTCAAAGCGTTCTGAGAGTTTCAGGAGTTCAAGCAGCATCTGAAGCTCTATGAGGAGCTACGCGAGGCAGCACTGCTTGAGAGCTGTGAGAGCCCACATAAATGAACTCAGAACACTTCTGAATTGTTGGCTGGAAAGTGTTACAGTCACCCCCCTGAGATTGCTGAAGGCTGTAGGAAAAAGTGGGTTCATAGCAATGACTTTCATGAGCACAGAAATCTGATTCAAAGTAAAAAGCTCAGCAATACGGGGCTGCCCCAGCCTGCATCCCCACGGCAGCTCCACGTGTGCTTTAGCTTTACCTAAAGTTGATAACAGATGTGAGTTGTTTTGTTGCTCTGTTTGCTTTTTGTTGTCTTTTCTTTTTCCTCCAGAACAATTGGTTATAGAAGAATATGAGCGAAGTCTGCAGTTTGATGAAGAATGCCTCAATGCAATCCTCGATGGCTTGGATGCCAGCAACAAAATCATCTGCCCAGTGTGCAGAAAGTAAGAAAGCCCTCAGCACTGCAATGGGATCCTCCACACTGCAGCAGTTTGGGTTTGGAAACAGGCAAAACAGCAGGCAAACAAAGGCAGTGGATTTCAACAAGATGGAAGAAGAGTGTTGTGAGGGATGCTCACTGTGTGTCTTTTTTAGGAACCATCTGACTGTGAGGAGCCACTCAGTTTTTTGCCAGTGTGGGTTGGATGTCCCTGCCCAGGTGAGCTGTGCTGTGAGTGATGCACGGTGATGTCCATGGCTGAAAGCTGCCTCTTATGAGTAAGATTTCTTTCTTCTTAACCCTTTTTTTTCCCCCCAGGATATGACGGAAGAGAAGCTTCGGTCGCTTCTGGAAAACACTATAACAGAGCACAGTCACAGGTGCCTTCACAGTCCGGAGTTCACAGTTACCAGTGGAATGGAGGAGGAAGCCAGTCTTCTCATGACCTGTCTGGTGAGTCAGGTGTCAGATTCCTGCTTGGATCCACCTCTCAGTTACATGGACAGAAGCCACAAGTCCACTGATCCGAGGGGTTTGCATTACTGCTTCTCCACATGCCTTTGTGGAAGTGGTTTTAGTATGGCCACCAGTAACAAAACAGCTGAATTACACTGTACTGTCCCTGCTGGGTTATGGGATCTTTCAAAGTTCCTTCTGGCTCAAGCTAGTAAAACATGTGTGCACACAAGTAGGTTCACAGTGTTCTAATGGCTGCATGCTGGGAAGTTAGGAGCAGAGCATTTCAATCTTAAACATGAATATTCATCTTTTATGTTACTACAGCTTGTCAGTTCAACTTAACCTTACCTTTTTAAGGTCTGTGACTTTTGGATGATACTCCTGTAAGTTGCTTCAGCTGCTGCTTTTTCAGTGACTTCAAGACTAGAAACTCAACCTAGAGCTGCTATTGTCTTCTAATGTATATATACTCATGTCTGCTGTGTCAGAAATACTTCAGGGCAGTGCTACTGCCTTAACCTGCACTTTTGATGGCACAGTCCATGTTTTATAATAAATATTTCATCCTTCATATCATCTTCAACAATGTATCACTGATTTCACAGCTTGCATTGGACTTTGTATTTAGCTTCTGGTCCCTGACAGTGTTTTTAAGGTATACTTCTGTTCTAAAAACAGGTGCCTCCTTACAATCTCATCCACTACACTCAGGACTAGTAAGAAGTATTGAATCAATAGAGAGGCACCAAGTAGTCATGACCTATTCTGCCTCTTCTCATTGTTCTGCCCTTGGGTGCCTTCAAGCTGAAGTACAGGCAGCTCTTTAATGCATGGCCACATGTTGTGCACTTCCCAAACACAGCAGGAGCACCTTCTGCTCTGCCACTGGGACTTATCAGACCTTGAGGCAACACACAGAGACAGCAGTTTTTGAGTAGAAGCCCCCAGCTCCTGCCCTGCTGACATTCAGCATCCACACAACTCGCATCATCCCGCAAGGAAAGCTCTCCAGCTTCTCTGCAGTATTTTTCTAAGGCAGATGCATTAACACTAATAGCTGTGGAAGCACCTTCCTGTTTAAAACAACTCAGAGTCTGGCAACCATGATTTCAGTCATACCCCTGCTGCCACTACACCTTGCCCCAGAAATGCAATCACGTACATCAGCATCACCTAGCCAGCAAAATTCCTCTGACAGCCACAGCGCTGCTGATAGGAAGGCAATTTCAGTGTCTGAAGGAGCTACAACAGCCCTGGAGAAAACTCTGGGTAACAGACCAGCTGCACAGCCAGATGCTTAACTTCTCAGGACACGCACAAATATCACTTTTTATGGCAACTGAGCAGCATGAAGAAAAACCACTATTTTTGCAGGGAGTTGTTGAACAGATTTTATTTTTCACATTCATTCCTAACGGTACAAAATCCAGCAGGTCGGGTGAGGCAGGTCCAGACTTGAATGTCTGAGAACTTGATCTGGGTTGCAACATAACATAAATACAAATCCCAAAATACAAGTGAGACTCCTCACTCTCCCATGATGCTCGCTTTCAAATTCAGTTACTCACTCTCTGTCTCTGTTGTGAAGGTACACTGTGGTACTGCTGGAGCACAGCTGTGTAATGCCCACACTCAACACTGGTTTCCTAGCCTACTGACATTTGACAAAGCTTTTAAGGTCTTCAAGGAATTTAATGTACTCCTGGTGCTCCAGTGCAGTGCTGAGCTCAATCAACTCATCAGCAAATGTGTTATCCACCCCTCGATCAGCCAGGAAATCCATTAAGTGGTCATACAGAGCCTGCAAGCAAGGAACAGAAAACAGCCTTAGCAGAGCACAGCTGGGGATGTCTTGCTTCTGAGATGTCTGACTGTAGCTGGTCTCACTGTTTCCCATCCCATCAGGCCAAGCTGTGTCCTGGAGCTGATAAAAGGGACCATAGGAGCCCACACACACTGAGCTCTGCCTCCCCTCTGTGTAATGCCATGGGGTCACGAGGGCACGCTGTGTGGGCAGTATCTGGAAAGGGGAGTAGCTGGTGTCTCTGTTTGAGAGACTCAATCTTTCACTATCTGTACACCATTTTTTCTTGCTTCAAATCTTACTTTACTGCAATACATTTACGCCTGTGGGCTCCCCCTCTTGCTCCTCACAGGAACAGATTTGGCACTGCTTAGTGCAGTATGCCAATACCTGTCACACTGCCTCTGACAAGTAACAGTGAACAAATGCTTCATTTTGGACTTCTGGAATAGGAGTAAAAAACATAAATCTTACAAATCTGAATTAGAAGCACTGTGGGATATTCTAATACTCACTAAGCAGTCTAATATCAGTGCTTTCAAAGAGCAAAGCTTTAATCACACAATGCACGGTCCCCAGCTAAGAATGAACCTTTTGCAAGCCTGGCACTGAGAATACATGAGTGGATGCAAAGTTCTGGGATGGCAGTTTTTAGAGTCACCACTACAAAAACATAACGGGAAAACTTAGAAAGATACCTTCATGTGCTATCTGATAAGCAACAGAGCTTAAAAAGAAATAAAAACATATTTTGTCAAAGCATCTCTGCAGCATAATACAGCTGGAATTGCTTTCAGAGCGTCCATCTCAGGCTGAAACACAAAGTACAGGATCCATGCTAACTGAGGAGTGAGTGGAGAGCCAGGCAAGAAAAGGCAAAGTGCCCTGTGCAGCCCACAGCCGTGCCAGCAGCACTTACCCAGTCGAGGGAATCTGTATTGAGGGTGTAGTTGGTGTCCTTCCAATCTGATTCTCCAGTGGGCTGAAAGCTGACCTCCCTAATAGTGAAAATGTCACTTTCTTCCTCTCCCTCGTGGCCAACCTGAAACAGGAAATGAGACGCAAGACATATTAGCTCTAATTACAGGGCACCATCAGCTCTTTCATCCCAAGCTGCGAATACAATGCTGCAGGCAAACCCTCAGGTACTTAACCCGTACTTAAAGCTGCTCTTCTCCCCTCCCAGCACTGCCAGCAAACAGCAGTCATCTGCTACAGTTTGCAAAATAAACCACACAGATCAGCCTGTAGCTCTCAATTATATGTTCTCCCTCCTTTGTTTGGTTCTTAAATAAAGAAATCTCTGCCTCACTTTGCAACACCTCATAGCAGTGAGATTTGCAAGCTAGTGCAGCAATGCACGAAATGTGTTGTGTTTGGGTCATTCTTATGTTTGTCCCATGTCAGTTTGCCATGCTGGTCACACTGCTGTGCCTCTCTCCCTCCTCTACCACCACTCAACGAGCTGATCAGAAAGCCAGGTCAGGACATGAGCAGAAATGAACACGATTACAAAGATAAAGATTCTGTGTTAGCAGAAAAGATAAAAGGAGACTGCATTTTCTGCACACTCATAAAACTATGGGACTATGAGCAGCAGTGGCACAGTTACACTGCAGCAGAAAGCAGGAAACACCCAGAGCTCACCTCATCCTCGGGGTAATGGCAATCAAGCACAAGGGTCTGCTTCGTATCGTCCTTAATGACTTCCACAACGAAGTTCGGAGTCGATGTGATATCGGGCTGAAGGAGAGAAGCACCCATCAGTGCTGAGGGCTGAGCAGGCGCGAGGCACCTGCACTGGGTGCTGGGGACGGGTACATGGGGGGCTCCCACGGCCGCTCTCCCCCAGACCCAGCTGCCCCGCTGCCCTCCATGTGTTCCCACGCCCAAAAACCGACTGAGAAAAACAAAGCGAAAACCCTTTGGGGAATCCCCTCGCCCTGCTCTGCTCCGTGCCCACCTCCTCCTGCTCGTCAGGTTTCTGCTCCTCCGGTGCTTCGTCGTCCACCGCGGGCGGGATGCTGTTGTTGATGTTGAACGTAACCGTTATCCTACAAAGAACACGGAAGAGTTAAGGCCGTCTGCGTTCGGAAAGCACCGCCCGCATCGCTCACGTTTGGAACTTTGGCGCTCACTTCTCCCCGGCGACTTTGCGCACCAGCCGGGCCTCGGTGCCGTGCACCTCCAGCTCCCAGCCGCCGGACACTTTGGGCAGCGCTTTGTGCTTCTGGATCTTCCGTTCCTCCTTGATTTCATCCGTCAAGAACTGAGCAAACGCTTTGTCCCCTGCGGCGGGAGAGAAGAGCTGAGCACGGCGACCGCCCTCCCCCCAGCCATCCCCACGTGCTGCGCGGGCCCGCCGCTCCGCCGCTCCCCCGCTCTCCCCCCGCTCACCCTCGGTGTGCAGCCCGCCGCAGCCGCAGGACACGGCGCCAGCAGAGCCCCGCCGCGGGCGGAGCAGCGCCGCCCGCCACCCGCCGCCATCGCTCCGCTGCCAGAGAGAGCGCGCCAAGGGCGGCGGCTGCAGGAGGGCGCGGGGCGGGAGGGACGAGAGCGGGCGGCGCGGGGGCAGCGCGGGGCGCAGAGAGGCGGCGGCGCGTAGGGCTCGTGCCAGCAGCATGGCGAGACGGGGAGAGGCAGCTGACCCGGAAGTGCTCCGGTCGCTTCCGGCGCTCCGCCTCTCGCTCTGCGGCGCGGGTTCGAGCCCCACCCCCGGCCTGACCTTGTGGAGGAGCCGAGAAGCTTCGACAGGCGAAGGAGAAGGGGGGGGTGAAGGAAGGAAGGAAGGAAGGAAGGAAGGCAGTGAGACGGGGAAGCAGCGCTGCGTGCCCCAACAGCGGGCGCTGCGTCACCCCAAGTGAAGCGGTTAACGTGATGTGTGAGCAAAGGATAGCTGAGGAGGCAATGGGCCGTGGCACCTCCCTTCTACAAATTGTACAAGAAAAACAGTACTTTTTTTTTTTTTTTTCTCTTTGTATGTAGAAATTTTTTTTTTCCCATCAATAAAACCTGCTCAGAATACAAACAATATCATCAAAAAATATCAAGTCTACTAGAAGAGCTCTCGTTTCCTCATAGACAAGCCTGTTACATCTCAGCAAACATTAAAGACTGGCACGAGACACCGGCGCCCCTTTCTGCCACCCCCTCCTCACGCGCACCCAGCACGTACTGTGAGCCCCTTTTACAGAGGAACTATTAAAAGGACGATTGTTCAAAGCCACGGAGACCCGTGAGGCCTGGCTCTCACAGAGAAGCCATTTTCCTCCAAGGTTTGCACCTGATGGGCAAGACAAAAGCCTGCTGTTCCTGTACAGCCATTACAAAACAGCAAACGGTCCTTCAGAGTGGGCCTTAGAGCCCTGCACCCGCTGGTCCCACAGCCCGGCTCAGTTCTTGGCTGCTCTGAGCTTCCTGCGGAAATAATCGGGCGCCGCGTCGTACAGCCAGTCTGCGTCCACCACGCACAGGTCCCGCATGTAGCACTTGTTGGTGTGCAGCAGCCCGTTGTAAACCACACAGGAGGGTTTGCAGTGGAAGAGCACAGAAGAGGGATGGATGGCCACCAACTGGTGGGAGTTCACAGTGCTGTAGGTGCCGTCCGGCTGCAGCTCGGCGGCGTTCATGAAGAGGCTGTGAGCCAGGCAGCGGCGGATGTTGGCGGTGTCGGAGCGGGAGGATTCCATGGGCACGGATAGCTGGATGGCAGCCAGAGAGACAAAGCAGCTGGTCACATCTTACAGCACCCCGCAGCACGGGCACAG